TGCATTTTTCAGAGATATTATTCTCTAAATAAACATATACTGAATCCTTAGTAAACAAAAGGATAATACATAATACACATTCTTCTGTATCATTCTTCGTTCCCTTACGACGTATCATTAAAATAATTTCCTATCGTCTACATGTACACCTACTTCATTCATTTTAATGTCTGGCATTCCACAATGTGGATGTTAAATGCCTTGCTACACAGTTACCTTTGTTTTCATAGGTAAGTCTCAGTCTTTTACTATTCTAAGAAGTATTAAGTAGGCTCTTTAACCTTATTTATCAAGCAGATCTTCACAGTATAATTTCTGATTTATTTTTACTCAGAAGAGTCAACAGGCAAGAAATAACCAATCATCATAGAAGGCAGGGTAATACTAATTGGAAACATTATTTACTGTGTAGGAAGTACTTTATAGGTAGCCATTCTTCTTATAAAGACATAATTTCTATTATTACTGTTGAGGTTTCTGTTATTTGAGAAAGCCAGGATTTGAAACTTGACATTGGAACCTTTACTTCTCTGTGATTACATTGATACTTTGGTGATGATACTGCATTTGTTGGATACCTGCTATGTGCTAAGCAGCTGACTATGTATTATCCACCATGTTCATTACAGCATTTCAAGATGTTGTGGAGCAGTCTTTATGAGGTCTAATAACTTGCCCCAAATCTCAGAGCTAACAAGTGAGCTAGGAATGGAACCGAAGCAGAATGTTTGAGTCCCGAGACCATGGCAAAATAGAGAAGGGGATTTCAAGGGCTTGACTCTCTGGCTAGCAGGCTGAAAGGCAGAACTGAAATTAATATACATGTGAGATGTAATTAAACACATTCAAGTAAAGTCAGAGGGCTGGGAAGGATTGACACTTGGGCTGATGGCGGTCCGTTTGTTACACAGCAACAAAAGCTTTTGAGGTGGGGATTAGTGCTTAGTTGACTGTATAGATCCCAGATATTTCTCCTTGGGGAGTGTTTCCAAATCTAGATTTCTTTGTCCTCACTGAATGTTTCAACCTTTAAAAAATTCCACACCTGCGCATTGTATTTATATAATCAACAATCCATTGTGATGGGTGGCACTGGGATGCCCTGTAGAAAGAGTAGCCTTAGGTGACTCTGAGTTGGGTTTTGTGGCTACAGGGAACATAAATCTGCCAGTGTTCACAGTGGAAAATGAGAGTGCCAAGAAAAATAAGAGCACTGAGATTTCTCAAGGTGTTGTCAATTTCTGCTATTTTAATCTCAGTGTTTCCGGAAGTTTTGCACCTTTAGGCAGCAAGAGAGAAGTCAAAATTGGAGTCCTCTTTAGAAGACCAATAGTGCCTATGAAATTATAGAAGTTGTATAGGTCTTGTGCAGATTATCATCAAATCTCCTGTATCTGTTGATTATTATTATTGCTGCTATTATTTTTAAAATCAGGTTTTTTTTTGTTTTTTTTTTTTTTGACAGGCAGTTAGAGAGAAAGAGAGACAGAGACAGAAAGAAAGGTCTTCCTTTTCATTGGTTCACCCCCAAAATGGCCGCAACGGCCGGCGCTGCGCTGATCCGAAGCCAGGAGCCAGGTGCTTCCTCCTGGTCTCCCATGCAGGTGCAGGGCCCAAGCACTTGGGCCATCCTCCACTGCCTTTCCGGGCCACAGCAGAGGGCTGGACTGGAAGGAGCAACCGGGACAGAATCCGGCGCCCCAACTGGGACTAGAACCCCAGCGTGCCGGCGCCGCAAGCAGAGGATTAGCCAAGTGAGCCGCAGCTCCGGCCTAAAATCAGTTTTACCATATCAGCTGTGTTTCTCCCCGTGAACTCCTGAATTTAAAATGTCAAATTTTCCTTTTACCAAAATACTTCATTTAATTCAGTGAATTTTTGGTCATGTTTCATGGGAAAAAAAGATGTAGCAGAAGCAGACATGTCAGGATTATTTGTGTGCTATATAATAAAAATAATAACTAAACTATATAATGAGTGTTTACCTGCAGGTCAGGAAATATACAAAGAATTTTATAAGCGTTATTTGGTTTAACCATCTCATGTCAGATGGGTCTTATTGTTTCCATTTTGTAGTTGGAGTCTCTGAATCTACTTTTGAGATTAACAATTACAGTGCTGTTAAAGCAAGCTTTTGAACAAGAAAAAAGTTATCTAAACTCACATAATATACAGTCATTCCTCTGTCTTCAGCTTCCTCATCACTGTACACAACCCACAACGGATGAAAAATCTAGGAAAAATATTTGTTCTGAACACGTCTCGATTTATTTTTCTTGTTATTCTTCCATAAATGTCCAATATAGCATCTTTTGCATAGTACTTACCTTTTGTACATATTATAGGTAATCTAACAAAAATGTTTTAAAGTAGAGGATTTGCACATGTTATTTGAAAATACTACGTCATTTTACAGAAGGGACCTGAACATCTGTGGATTTTAGTATTCACGGAGAATCTTGAAACCCTGGATACCAAGAGATGACAATAGTTCCTATTTTGGCATTTTTCCTTCCAGACTTTGTCCAAATTTATTCAGAAATCAATATCTGGATAATTTTGTATTCTGATTTTTCATTCCAAGGAGTCATAAAAAGTTGGTTCCTCATTCTTCCACATTAACATATACTGACCAATAAAGGAGTCATTGCCAAATTTTCCTTATTAATTTGGTTCTTTGGAGACCTTGTTTCCATTTTCTCATAGATTCTACTGCAAAGAAATACTGTGTGTGTTGTATATTTAATTCTCTTTGAATTTCCTAAGAAAAAGTTCCTGTTTTAGTCAAAGAGTTAATACCTTTTAGACTCATTCTAACTGAGTTAGAATTACTTTCACAGGAGCAAATCATGAGCATTGTGTAAAACTGATAACCTTTAGAGAAATGTCTGTTAACTCTTTAGGAATGCTCTCTTGGCAGTATTGTAAAGGTATAATTTTGAATGAATATATGAGTAATTAATATGTGTTAATATGAGTAATTAATATGTGTGATAAGGCCTATCTAGAGAACATTTTTTCTTTGTTTAATTTTAAAAATAGGTGAATTAGACTTTGAGGAGGATGATGTGTGCACTGTCAGCGTTCATTCTTCAGCAATATTGTTTTTTGAGGAACTACTGTTTTAGGCCCATGGCAGTGGCCAAGGCTACAATATTGAGTGTGATAGAAACAGCTAATTTCTGAACAGAGCCTTAGGAAAAGTCATATCAAAAATCTTTGGTCCTTGACATTGTGCCACAATGCACTCCTGTCCTCTTGACATTTCCAACTTCTTTGTTCTCTTGCTTTTATGAAATCTGACTCATGTTTTATATCAGCCAAAGACACGAAGGATAAAGAGTAGCTTACGCTCAGAAAATTATCTAGATCAATATAGATACAGCCACAGATATATAATTTCTAAGAATTCCTGTAACCCTGTTTTTCCCCTCCCATCCCGCTTCTAGTAGGGTTTTACAAACCTTTTTATCTTCCCAGGAGGAAAGTGTCTTGCTGTGTGATTTTTAAGGATTCCTAAATCATCTTATCCCCATTGCACGTAGCTTAGGGGTCACCTTTAAACACATTTGTACATTTATCTTCTCAGCACTTTAACAAAATAAACTGAGTGCAGGGACTTTCGACCCTTTATTTCAGAAATGTCCTCATGTGAAAACAAAAATATGAATTTAGGGTATGTACCGTGATTTATTAATACAGTGTTCTAGAACTGCACATTTCATGGATAGAAATTAGTATTTTCATTCCTTTTGGGAGGCAAATATACAGAATCTTTATTGAAAATGAATTTCAGAATTGCGTTTTCACCTTTCACGGAATTTCTCTATTCCAGAAAGACCCACTAGTTTGTTGATGAATTTAACTTCATTATCATATTAGATGGTATTCCTTTTCAAATTCAGTAGTTGAACCTTTAGATTTTTCTGATGTTTAAACATTTCAATGAGGAAAGTAATCCTTTTGTAAACACTGCAATAAACCTACACAAAGATCAAATTCTTTGCTCATTGATTAAATGCTTTCCTTTCAAGAATATTATATCATTTCGTAAGAATGTTACTACACGTGTGTTACTGAGTTTACATTTAAATTTCAGCAAATTCATTATACACATACATGTGTATCTCTGTTAATCAGTTGATCAACAAGTAGATACACACATATATGACTTTGGTAGACTGATATTTTGAGAGGAAATTTTGGACTAGGACATACAGATGACTGTTCCCCAAACCAAAATTGCATAAATTATTTTTAGTCGATTAATCTAAATTCATTTATTTTTTTCTAAATCTTTTTGTTATACTATTCCATGCATATATGATTTGAACATTTTTGCAAAGTATGAGTTCCAGGAATTAGAGTTTATAGAGTACTCTTCAAGAAGGAGTAGGGATGGATGGAGAGAACTTTATATCAAAATGTGTTTCTACAAGTCGACTTAAGGCTACCTAGCCGAGAAGATGGCTCTGCCAGGTATCAGTCTGCTTGTAGACATTGCCAACATAGCCCAGTAGTGGAAAAGAAAACACCAGGATGCCTAAAAAAGGAACACTGATAAATTCTTTTGAGCTCTCCTTACAATGTTAGTGGCCCATATCCTTAATTGAGGTTGCGGTCTTTCCTAGTGCAACTCTGGGCATATCCTACTGTCGGAACTCAAAACCTTGCAAACTCCATGTCTGAGATCTCAATGTATTCTTGGTCCCAAATCAATCTTGTCACTCCTCGGAAAGCACTGCAAGATAATAAGTAGTATTCACCCGATTGCCTTCCTGCTCCGAGACAGCTAGTGACGTGCGTCTTCCTGATAACCAGGAGTTTCAGATCTAAGGCAGGGATAAAGGGAAGCTGGGAGCTTGCAGAATCTAAATGTGACAGTCGATGGCTGAGGAGAGGGTCAGAAAGGATAGAATCGTGACATGTATGAGAAAGGAACAAAATTTATCTGTTCTGGCTGCAATGATTAGATGTCTCTTTGTCTGGCTTTCTTACAGTGGTGACTGATCATACCCGCCAGCTGGCTAATATCATAATTAACGAAGTTGGTGCGACGTCTGCAAAGTTTAATCGGAACATTTACCAGCGATGTGATGGCATCGTTACGAAGATCACAAGGGACCTGGCCGTGACTTTTGCCCAAGGAGGAATGGCAAAGCTGTGCAGGCGAAATGAGAAATTGCAAACTTGTTCAGCCAAAGGTATGTCTCTTTCATAATTCCACATCCTGGGTTTTCTTAATAAGATTTTTATTTGATGGTTGGTGGGTTCTTTTTCGTTTCACAACTGAAATGATCGTTAAAAACCTTTTGGAACATTTATAGAATGTTTTCTGAAGGCTTTGTTTTTTTTTTTCAAAATCTGAAAATTCAGAAATGCAACTACATAGTTTTTGATGCTGATAAGGGACTACGAAGCGGTATTTTGCTGTTATATCTAGCAATCTCTATCAGCTTTGTGAATAACTGGCCGGTAACAACTGTTAGTTGAACATTTACATTGGGTGGCTTTTGGTCAACAATGTAGAAACCATTGCTCGGCTTTATTCTTGCACCAACCTAGTTACAGAAGAAGAAAGAAGGCAAGTACAGTTTTGGATATGTAGACGCTGTATTTTAATTTCATGAAATGCTCAAATTAAGGTGACTGGGGGCTGAGATATTAAGTCCCAACATTTCTAAAGACCGATAATCATTGAAATTATATGATCTTCTCTAATGCTGGTCCAGCCATTGGCTGTTCCACCTGCATTTTCTGTTTACTCTGATTTACTTTGCTTGATTGAATATTTGAGCAGATTATTGCCTTTACATGTAGCTAATTAATAAGTGTGAATCTTGATGAAAAGAGGCATGTGGCTCTGTGTGTATCTGTCCACTATATCTGCACCGAAAAAAGAGGACAGGTCTCTGAAAATATGCAGGAAGCAAGTTTGAGTTATTTTGTGCTGTGTCATACCACTACTAGAATATACAGGCTGTCAATTTGCAATTATAATTGGGCATGTGCATTATGGTTCTTTCCCTCTGGGGTCACCTAGACCACTACATCCTGACAAAAAGCAGTAATTTATTTTTTGCCCGTTATTGTTTTCTTCTGTGTTATTAACAATTTTAAACCATCATGAAATAACATTTTGGGAACAAATTAATGCATGGCACATTAAATTAACCTATTTAAATATTCTCATAGTTTTATTCTTAACTGTAGGTGACTAGATATTTTCAATACATTGCTTTTAAAATTTGACAATCAAGTTTCATATTATTAAATATGAAATGAATCATTTTATGGTATTATGAATTTGAAAGCATTTAAGGATCCAGATAATTTTAAGTACTGTTTACCAACATTTTGGTAAAAATTTGACTTAACGCATTTCCAATCTCACTATAGTTTAATGACATTGATGAGGAAAACTGGAAGTGATGATTTAAATCATTATTATATTCTGAGCATCATTTTTACAACAGAATCTTACTCATATAAAGACAGTTTTTTTCTTTGATTCCCCTGCTACACTCTATGTGGCGCATAATATGTATTTAATAAATGAATGAATGACTGAATTTAAGTATCTGCTCTTATTAAAAAAAAATGTTTACCATTAGCTTTCTCCAAATCATAATGCTTGTTATACAGTAAACATAAACAGAACAAGAAGATAAATAGCATTATCACAGACAATAAGGAAGATTAGGTTCTGAAAATATATTCATGCTTTAACCTAAACCTTCATAATATTTTGTGTAATAGAGACTTGTACTGTAAGGACTTGCTGGCGTATCATGGGTCTGTGGGATTAGGAACAGCCAGGGAAGTGGTTCACAGCTGATGTCCCTTTTTTTCCTCTAAACAGGATTATCTCCTGAAATGTGTAGAAATGAACTCTGTCAGAGTTTCAAAGGAATTAATATTTTTGGTACAATGTGCTAATGTAAGGAGTTAGAAGATTAGTGATTCATAATGAAGAAAATGCATTCTTTCACGTGGTAATAGGAATTTAATAAATGTCCTGCAGGTGATGGGGGCTGTAGCAATTTTATTGAGAATTACAGTTTGATTGACCTTTGTTAGGGTGATTAACCCTTCTGAAATTAAAAGCCATAGCTGAATTATGCTGTCTCATTTAAATGCAAACATTGCACAAGTCTATGTCATTCAAATAATAATAATAATAAAATGCCCTCCCATTTTAATTTTCATTCTTGCATGTCTGAATGGTATGCTGCTCTGTCCCAGTGACAGAGAATATAGAATAATGTGTAGATGATTGGGAGCGTGTGGAAAGAGAATCTCAGGCAATAGCCGCCCCTCCCCCGCCATACAACACTTGCTGACCACCACTGCAATGAAAGCAGGGAGCGCAAAGTCAATCAATCTCTGCACGCTGAAAAAATACTGACCTCAGTAGGAAAACAACCTAGAAAGGTCCTGAAGAGTTTAGGAACAAATAGCAATGGCATCTTTATTCTAATCCAATGCTATCCACCTAAACTGCACACCATGTCTATGTCAAGTCCGCATGATAATTCCTGAAAATGTGCATGTTTTTCCTTACAGTTCTTACAGACCAGCTTTGAAAAGCTGATTGTTCATAGTATCTGGAATCTCATTCCCCATGATCTCTGATAGTCTCTGGATATATTCAGTATTTGCATTCAGTACCAAAACGTTACATGAGATGCAAACTCTATTTGTCATGCCACTTAATAGTTTAACTTTTCTTTGCTAAATGTTCTTGGAGGCTTAGTGAAAATTCACATATTCACCTTGCATCAAAAATCTTTCCATTTTTCATATCGTTTTAATTTTTTTACGACTAAGTCTGTGAATATTTTAGTTTTAGGTCCTACCACACAGTGAATGTGTCTTCCTTTTATGTGTCTGTGGACTATTAAAATGATAATAAAGGTTCTCTTCATTCCATACGTAATTTATTTTCTCCCTTTTCATCAAAGAATTCTCAGAATGCGTCAAGGTACAAAAGTCAAAGGCATTATAGTGCAAAAATTAAGAAGCCTGAGGTGCTATAGTTTATTTTTCACTCAAGCTTTTCATGTACTCTTTTAATACCCTTCTGAACAGTGGATTTTTTTACTCGAGGCTTATGAAGAAAAGCAAAGATAAAAAACTTGGGGTAGAGAGCCTGAGATTACTCACTTGGAAAGTGACTCTGGCATCCTCCAGAGAGCTGGATAATACCTTGAAGCATAGATTAATCATATGTTTAAATAAGATCTGTTTGCTCTAAGGATAACTTCCCAATTCTTAATTGTGCGACCAGTACTCAACCTTAAATTGTAAACACATACAGTGTTCTGTCCTTTGTCTGATAAAGCCTAGATTATCTTCTTTAGCTCTGGCACAGCAAATGGTCAAAGTTTTTAAAACTGCCCCATGCTAATACTTGTTCCCTTATTAAAGATAATTTTTTACCAAAAAATAAACATAACTGCTAAATTAAATCCCTAGAACGTGCCCATTTAATTCTTCAGAGATAATTCGTTAATCTTCTCTCATTTACATTAATCTAGTTTTACTTTTCACCAGAACTGATGAAAATAATTTTCAGGGTTAGCACTTGTTGTAAGTACAACAACAATTCTGAAGCTAAAAATCGAATGTGCCAAACTACTGACTGTATCTTTATCCATATTATTATTAATTATCAACATTCCTTTTCATAAAAGAAAATTGCAGTATGGCAAGATGAAATTCATAGTGCCTTCGTGTAGAAAAAAGTGTTGTTGAAAAAACAAAGGAAAAGAAGATCATATTTTACTAAATCCCAAATCCAATCATTTGTTTTGCTTTGCTGTGCTTCAGCACACACCAGAATGTTTATTTCTTTATGTGGCTTTTGTTTTCTAGCAATCCGTCTCCCTCTAACCCACCCCATCCCAGACATGACATTTTCCCTGTGAAATGACATTCTTTGTTGTGAAATAATATTCTTTGCCAAAAATAAGCCAAGATGAATTCATTTGATATTTTCGAGGACTACATGTTCTAGTTGGAGTCCTTGTGCTTAAAAAGCAGACAGTTTAAAAAGTGACCAGTGCTGTCATTTTATTCACTACATATTGTTTTTGGGTCAGCAGTTTGATATCATTTTACAAAGATTTAGAGTAGACCTACCCCAAGCAATTTTATTTTTCTGGACTAAAGATAAATGTGGCAAACTTTTTCAGAGTTTGTAAATATTATGTAGTAAAGAAGTAATCACATGTAAGGTTTTCAAGATGTAACCCTTTAACAGGCAAAGATTATAGAATTAAGTGATTTGATTCATCTTGGTCAGGTGAATTTTTTATATTCTGTTTAAAAACATAAAAATGCTGTAGAATTAATAAATAACCCAATGTTGACTTTCAGCTTAATTGGTAAAGTTAGTTTCCTATAACTACTTCTCAAATGAATTGGAAGAAATCTAATGTATTGTAGTAGTAACTGACCTATTGGATACATTCTTTGAGGTCTGTGTTAAAATGATCACACAAACTCTACATGTTACATTTCTTGGTTCCAGGACCTCTGTAGATACAAAATTTCCTACATAAAATGGCATAGCATTTGTATTTTAACCCACTTGTATCTTCTCACATACTTTATTTATTTACAAGTCGCTTGAGGTTTGTGGTATATGGTTTAACAGGTGATCACACAGAAGAAGGGGTAGGGGAAGAGTAGTGAGGGTATGTGAAGCAAAGCTGAGTGACGGAACTCATTCAGTCGGGCAGATGTTTGTACAGAGGGCATAATGGAACTGCAGGGAAAGCTCTGGATAGATTCCCCTGCACACATCTGGAGCACCAGACCCCTCCAGGGCAGATCCAAGAACAGGGGTCTAAGGAAGGAGCCCATTTCTGTCATTCCAGTTTTAGAAGCTCCACAAGACGAGAGTGGCAGGTGGTGGGATGATGCCCGGGGACCTGGTGGCACATAGCATAGTCTATGGGGAGATGATCAGTTTGGCTTTCTAGTCAACCCCCTTCTTCCCAGCCTGGATCACCTCCTGCTGGCTCACCATGAACTTCAGGGGCTTGTTTCTGTCCCAGGAGGAGTGGAATTTCTTTCCATCTTCAAGCGTCTCGGTGTGGCGCACCACGCAGGTCTGGCCACGCTTGGTAAAGGTGCGCCCGCTGCGGGAGAGGCGGTCTTCACCTACACTCCCGTAGCTGTAGCAGGCGCTAGGTGGGCAGCGAGACCGGCAGCGTGGACCGTGAGCAGGCCTGGCAGCGGCTCCGTAGTTCTGCCCTCTTGTATACTTACTTTGTCATCTCTCTATTGCTTATTATTCCTAATACAATATAAAGACTCTCCGAATACTTGTCACCCTGTGTTGTTTAGGGGATAATGACAAGAAAAAAAGTCTATGCATAGTCAGTATGGACATAGGGTTTTGGTTTTTGTTTCTTTCTTCGAATGTGCAATCCTCGGTTGGGTCCATGGATATGAAGCTCAGTGATTCAAAACCCAGAGATGGGAAGGGCTGACTGTACTTGGGAATCTGGAGAATTGCTGAAAAAAGGTACCTCAACCTCAGGGGTCTTCTGGAGCTCTCTGCTGAACAC